TGAGAGTGTAGTGGATGCATGGAATAGCCTTCCAGCTGAAGTGGTAGAGGTTAACACAGTAAAGGAGTTTAAGCATGCGTGGGATAGGCATAAGGCTATCCTAACTATAAGATAAGGCCAGGGACTAATGAAAGTATTTAGAAAATTGGGCAGACTAGATGGGCCGAATGGTTCTTATCTGCCGTCACGTTCTATGTTTCTATGTTTCTATGTTGTCAAATTGCCCTCATCCAGGGAACTTGCTTCTATCTTCGCCAGGGAGGTGTTTCGGTTGCATGGCATTCCTGTATCAATTCCTGTATCAATTGTATCCGATAGGGGTAGCCAATTCATTTCCAGATTCTGGAGAGCTTTTTGCTCAGAGATGGGTATTTCTCTCTCATTTTCCTCCGCTTACCACCCCCAGTCTAATGGAGCTGCTGAACGTGCCAACCAGTCCCTAGAGCAGTATCTTCGTTGTTTCGTATCCCACCATCAGAACAATTGGGATGACCTGCTTCCTTGGGCTGAATTTGCTCGTAATAACGCTGCTCATGAATCTTCCGGTAAAAGCCCTTTCTACTTTGTTTATGGCCGGCATCCTATTTTTGTTCCAGCTGCATTCTCCTTACACGGCATGCCAGCTCTGGATGAACATTTGGCTGGTTTACCTACTACTTGGGAGCAGGTTCAGCGTTCTTTGGTGGACTCTGCTGCTCGCCAAAAGGTTCAAGCTGACAAACATCGCAGGGCGGCTCCGTCTTATGTCGAGGGGGAGGGTTTGGCTTTCCACTCGCAATATCCGCCTTCGTGTGCCTTCTATGAAGTTGGCCCCCCGTTTTATAGGTCCTTTCCGTATTTTGTATAAAGTTAATCCTGTTTCGTATGCCTTGGATCTTCCTAAGAACCTGCGTATTCCTAATGTCTTTCACACCTCCTTGTTGAAGCCCCTCCTGTATAACCGCTATACCCAGCATGTTAATCCTCCTCCTCCTGTTTCTGTGGAGGGTCATGAGGAGTTCGAAGTGGCTGCTGTACTTGACTCATTTTCTCAGGGGTCGACTCCAGTACCTGGTGCATTGGAAGGGTTATGGGCCTGAGGAACGCAGTTGGCTTTCCGCTGACGCTGTTCATGCTACTCACCTTGTGCGTTCCTTCCATTCTCGTTTTCCTGCCAGGCCTTATTCTCCCCGCCCGGTGGGCGTGTCTTCGGGGGGTACTGTAGCGGTACTTAACTTACCCGGGGGCCGGTCAAGGTCCTCACTTCATGCCGCACGCAGCTCCCAAATGAAGGCGGGCACGGACCGCGAGATGCGGTCACGTGTTCCGCCTAGCTCTAAGAGCGTGCCGCGCGTCCCGGGCACGCTCTTAAAGGGGCAGTGGGAGCCAAAAAATAAAGTGTGCTCCCATTGGCCCCTGTCATCCCACATTCCCCAGACATTCACATTTTGGGGGCGTGGATATGACAGGGGCCAATCAAAGTAAAGTTTAGGGTATTTATACTTACCTCTCCCTTAACTCCCTGCCCTATCGTGGTTTCTGTTTCAGTTCCCTTTAGCGCTTGTTGTATTCAGTTGTGATTTTCGTGCTTTTCTGACTCCGTTTATCTCTCTATCCCTGTTTTGTCTTGTTTGCCGGCTTACTGACTACTGTGTACCAGACCTTGGCTAGTTTTTGTTCTCGCAGTCTCTTTGTTCCGTTGACCTCGGCTTGTTCTTGACTCTGTCTATTCTCTGCTATACGGTGAGTCTGGCCATTCTAAGGTCCGGTAAGTCGTACCTGCTCTATCTGTCGATTGTTGAACTAAAATCCTGCGTGTAGGGGTAAACTACCGTGACAAAACCTATTCGTATGGTTTTTACTATTCGGCTGTTTACAGCATTCATATGGTTTCCTGTTCGGCGGATTGGTGTTCTGCAGTAGCTGTGCCTGTGTCTCTGGAAGGGAAGATCTACTAAACGGCAGTTTAACCCTTTTATGCCTGGGGGTGCCATTACAATAATGACCTAATAACCGAAATAGCTGCCTGCCCAAGTAGATACTGTCCTATTAACCGAAATAGCTGCCTGTCGAAGTAGATAACGTCCTCGTATCCGAAATAGCTGCCTGCCCAATTAGATAACATCCTAGTAACCGAAATAGCTGCCTACCCAAGTAGATAACGTCCTAGTAACCGAAATAGCTGCCTGTCCAAGTAGATAACGTCCTCGTAACCGAAATAGCTGCCTATCCAAGTAGATAACATCCTAGTAACCGAAATAGCTGCCGGCCCAAGTAGATAACGTCCTAGTAACTGAAATAGCTGCCTGTCCAACTATACAATTACTTAGTAACCGAAATAGCTGCCTGCCCAACTATACAATTACTTAGTAACCGAAATAGCTGCCTACCCAACTAGATGACGTCCTAGTAACCAAAATAGCTGCCTGCCCAAGTAGATAATGACCTAGTAACCAAAATAGCTGCCTGCCCAAGTAGATACCGTCCTAGTAACTGAAATAGCTGCCAGCCCAAATAGATAACGTCCTAGTAACCGAAATAGCTGCCTGCCCAAGTAGATAACGTCCTAGTAACCGAAATAGCTGCCTGCCCAAGTAGATAACATCCTCGTAACCGAAATAGCTGCCTGTCCAATTAGAAAACATCCAAGTAACCGAAATAGCTACCTGTCGAATTAGATAACATCCTAGTAACCGAAATAGCTGCAGGCCCAAGTAGATAACGTCCTAGTAACCGAAATAGCTGCCTGTCCAACTATACAATGACTTAGTAACCGAAATAGCTGCCTGCCCAAGTAGATAATGACCTAGTAACCGAAATAGCTGCCTGCCCAAGTAGATACCTGTAGCGGAGAGCTGGTATTACACAGCCTATCGCCACTTTAGAACCCAGGGAGGCTCAGGAACAAGCAATTTATAAATCCATAGGGCAAAGTATCCAGCAGGCAAAATAACACAGCAGTATCCCAACAGCAATCCCAATAACTGGACGACACACAGTTTCAGGTGCAGAACTAAAGATTTATTCAGACAGTGGCCTTATAAAGCATGCTCCCATGCAAGGGAGGGATTTACAGTCATTAATACAGTAGCCAATCCTGTTCTGGTAACCTCCCACACATCTCCTCCCCTCAGCCTGCATCATAATCCCCTTATCCAGGACACCAATTCCCCCCGTTTCTGGATGTAAACCTAAACCTAAGTCTGATCTGGGTGAACAACATATCCAAAAATCACCCAGATCAGACTAGGGGTTTGGGAAATTTATGGAGGGAATAAAATGACCGACCGCGCTGGAAAGAATAGTCGAATGGGGTTCCATGTGATGGGGCCGTTTGGTAGTTTGGAACCGAACGGACCGGGATTGTGGAGGTCTCAGCGGTGTTCGCCTAGTCGAGTGTCCGATTTGAGTTCCAGACACTCGACGGCAAAACACCACTGTTCGGGAGTTTTAAAATGGCCACCGCCACGTGTTCGTTTCCCGAATGGCGGCCACCCCCGAGAACAAAGGACTGCTACTCAGCTTGTCAATTACCCGTTTGCAACAATGTTGCAATGGGTAATTGAAGGCACACTTCACACAGGGGAAGTCTGACTGTTCGGTAGTTTCATTCGAACAAACTAAGGGAATGAAACTACCGAACAATCAGACGAATACAATACATTTAACACATATAACTTTGCCATTTACACGAATGCAGTCAAAACATATGCAATTCTCAGGACAGCCCAGTGCCATCCGCTAAAATACCGTTCTAGTAACCGAAATAGCTGCCTGCCCAAGTAGATACCGTCCTAGTAACCGAAATAGCTGCCTGTCCAAGTAGATACCGTCCTAGTAACCGAAATAGCTGCCTGTCCAAGTAGATACCGTCCTAGTAACCGAAATAGCTGCCTGCCCAATTAGATAATGTCCTAGTAACCGAAATAGCTGCCTGCCCAATTAGATAACGTCCTAGTAACCAAAATAGCTGCCTGCCCAAGGAGATAACGTCCTAGTAACCGAAAAAGCTGCCTGTCCAATTAGATAACGTCCTAGTAACCAAAATAGCTGCCTGCCCAAGGAGATACCTGTCACGGGTGGCAGTCCGGTGCCTGGGACCCAGACACTGTCCGGGCGGCGGTGCGTGGACCGGGACCCATTATGCCTGATGTTCAAAGTAGGAGTTACAGTGTGGAGATGGATTAGCAGGGTCTGGTGCAGGGCAACCGCACGCCCCCTGGTGTTGAGCACCAGCGTTTGTGCAGCCACATACCAGAACCCTGATTCAGCTTATGCGGATCCCAGGAACTAGGAGCAGGTAATTAAGCAGACCTCCCAGAAGCTGAATAGGGAGGCTCTGCAGCAGGGATGTATCCAGTACTGAATCAAGACAGAACTAGGAGAGAAAGGCACCATACAAGAAAACAAGACCAAACTAGGAGAACAAAGAAAGACTAGAGATAGGCATCATGCATGAAAACAAGACAAAACCAGGAGAGCAAAGCAAGACTAGAAATAAGCACCATACATGAAAACAAGACAAAACTAGGAGAACCCAGAACCAGAGCAGGACAGAAAGCATAACTTAGAACATAAATAGATAGATTCACACACACTCAAAAAAAAAAGTATATACAAGATATATACATAAATAGGTATACCACCTATTGTAGACGTAAGTATGTTGGTTACATCTGAAAAACAAATGGAACATACATAGTGCTTTCCATATAGATTAAAATAAACAAGTTATAATATATGTGGATTGAACTCACAAAGGTGGAGCCTCATAGGCTCTATGCACATCACTCTTGGGTGCCTATTCAGGCTCTCGATAGATTCCTGTTGGAAGAACTCGAGGTCCACAGTAGTAGATGTAGATACAAATTTATTGAAATAAAATATTGAAATAAAATATATAAATAACTAGGGACAAGGCAGGTATAATCATGAAATATAATACAGTATTGCACCGCAAATATGGCTAAAACTTTAAAGCAGTGGAACACTACAATACATAAACAATAAGAAAATACCGCCAGAAAAAAGTCCCAATAGAGAAGTCCAGTAAAGTGCAAACGCGTTTCAGCCCCTCATAGGGCCTTCCTCAGTGCTAAGTTCCTGGAAAAAACTTCAGGGCTTAAATAGCCCCCTTGATATGTTCAAATAGGTCCAGCTGTAGTCTCCAAATACCGCCGATCGTGTCACTTCCGGTTTCGGCAAAACGCACGTGACTTCCGGTTAGATGCAGTCACATGATATTTTTGCGTTCCACCATGCGTTCCACACTCGAGCATGGTGTAAACAGTCCCAAGGATGTCCATATTGGAAAAGGGCATATGCCCAAACAAACTTAATCCACATGGTGTAGAAACAAAGAAAATAGCAAGTAGTGAATTAGTAGATCGGTACATACATATTCTTAAAACACAAGGCACAAGAAATTGAAAAATTGTAAAATTGTGTATTGAAGAGGGGAAATGTCCAAAAGAAAAAACCCATAAAAGTATATAAATAACAAGTACTATAAATATAAAAAATAAAAAAATAAAAAAATTATATAAAATATTAATAAAAATTTATTATAAAAAATGGACTAATTCGAAATCTATATTAAGACCTTTAGGGCACATAGTGTCCAAGGTAAAAATCCATTTACCCTCTAATTTACTTAATTCTCGGACATTATCCTCCCCTCTCCAATTCATACGTTTTTTCCCAATCACCATGAAACTTAAAAGAGAAGCGTCACCATTATGGTATTCTACAAAATGTGCTGATACACTGTGTTTGGTGTATCCCCTCCGTATGTTCCCCATGTGCTCCATAATGCGGGTTTTCAGACTCCTAGTGGTCATTCCCACATACTGGAGCCCACAGGGACACCAGAGGAGATACACCACATTAGTAGAATGGCATGTAACAATATCACGTATCTTAAAACAGGTTCCTGTGACATTGGATTTAAACGTAATTTGTGTATCTTTCTTAAAAGTAGTGTTTTTACATGGCAAGCACATTTTACACGGATAAAAACCTGGTTTTTGATTAAAAACGTTCTTATCTCCCTGTTTACAATTGACGAAACTTTTAACTAAATGGTCTTTAATATTTTTAGCACCTTTAAAAATAATTTTCGGCTTATCACTTATAATATCCTTAAGATCCTCATCTGTTTTCAAAACATGCCAATGTTTGTTGATTATATGTTTAATTTGTTTAGAATTAACATTATAGTCCAAAATTAGAGGTACACATTCTTTCTCTCCTATTACTGTATCCTTCTTTGGTTTATATTTAAGTACCTCAGTTCTCTTCATTTTTTTAACTTGAGAAACTTGTTCTTTTAAAACTATAGGGTCATAATGTTTTTCTTTAACTTAGAACATGTACACAAGACATGAGGAAAACAAGAACATAACATGGGCATGACTGGACAGGACTGTACATGGACTGGGATTACAAGACTAAATAAAACAAGACAAGAGATACAAGGTAAAACAAGAGGAGACATAACTAAGCACTATATATGAAAAGTATGGGGATTTAGTTACATTATATGATCATACATTGCATAAGCCTGCCAACAACGCCAATGTACCCCATATCTGGCAGGTCCTACACTGCCTAATGTTCGCTAAAAACAGCCACACTAAACCACAATAGCACTTACCTGCAAGAAAGGGCAGAGACTTGAAACACTGCTGCAGGTCCAGACTGAAACAAAAGGAAAGTAGAAAACAAACGGCTGTGGCAACATAAAACAAACATTTAAGTGAATCCAAGAGACTGGGAAATCCAGGGACGGAATATAAGAATGAACCCAGAAACCCAGCAACAAAGAAAACCAGACATAGACCAGAAAAACCAAGCAAGGACAGCAAAAAGAGTACTGGATACCAGAAGCCAATGCAGGATGATCCGCAGCGAGGAACAGAACGTGACAATACCGTCCTAGTAACCGAAATAGCTGCCTGTCCAAGTAGATAACATCCTAGTAACCGAAATAGCTGCTGGCCCAAGTAGATGACGTCCTAGTAACCGAAATAGCTGCCTGCCCAAGTAGATACCGTCCTAGTAACCGAAATAGCTGCCTGTCCAAGTAGATAACGTCATCATAACCGAAATAGCTGCCTGCCCAATTAGATAACATCCTAGTAACCGAAATAGCTGCCTGCCGAATTAGATAACATCCTAGTAACCGAAATAGCTGCCTGCCCAAGTAGATACCGTCCTAGTAACCGAAATAGCTGCCTGTCCAAGTAGTTAATGACCTAGTAATCGAAATAGCTGCCTGCCCAAGCAGATACCGTCCTAGTAACCGAAATAACTGCCTGCCCAATTAGATAACGTCCTCGTAATCGAAATAGCTGCCTGCCCAATTAGATAACATCCAAGTAACCGAAATAGCTGCCTGCCGAATTAGATAACATCCTAGTAACCGAAATAGCTGCCGGCCCAAGTAGAGAATGTCCTAGTAACCGAAATAGCTGCCTGTCCAACTATACAATGACTTAGTAACCGAAATAGCTGCGTGTCCAACTAGATGATGTCCTAGTACCGAAATAGCTGCCTGCCCAAGTAGATACCGTCCTAGTAACCGAAATAGCTGCCTGTCCAAGTAGTTAATGACCTAGTAACCGAAATAGCTGCCTGCCCAAGTAGATACCGTCCTAGTTACCAAAATAGCTGCCTGTCCAAGTAGCGGAATGCCAATATTAAATCCACGAATTCCGCTGGTTCAGGAAGTAATCCACAGTCAAGCGCTGGAAAAAGCAAGGCAATATCCCAAACCTCCCAGTAACCGGACAAAACACTGTTCTGAGAGTCAACTGAGGTCTTTATTTTCAGCTCCACAATTTATACAAGTCCCAATGCAAGGGGTTTCCTGAGTCCCCTCCCAGGGGCATTCCCAGAGGGGACTACATGGGGGACTTACTGTGCAAGACATTTCTCCCATCAGGCACTGCTGCATGAGAGGGATCCTCCCACAGGAATGTACCGTTAAGTGGATTATCCCTTCGTGCAGCAGAACCGACAATTGACATTAAAATCCATAACTTTTCGAATATGCAGTTCATTTAAACGAATGGACGTTCGGTAGATAGTTGGGGTCTGAGCGCATCATTCGTGAGATTACTGCTCAGATCCCAGCTAAACCAACCGAACGCCGCACGAAAAACACATTCATTAAAATACAGGTTCAAAATACCGATTGCCTTCCAGGGAACCAAATACCGAACAGCCCAGACCTCCCGAACGGCCTGGAAGCTCAGTGGTGTTCGCGCCATAGAGTAGCCGTTTTTAGTACCATGTGCTCGACGACCAAATACCGCTGAGGGAACAAAGGATCCAAGATGGCCGACCGCCGCATGGTCGGTAGTCGAACGGCGGCCACCTAGGAGAGCCTCTAATTACCAAGTGCCACACGCCTCTAAGTGTGTGGGCTACTACATGGGGGTATTTTTGGTTCACGAATGGCCCGCAAGAGTGCAGTTCGTGAAACGAAAGAAAATACAGTACATACAGCTATCTGCATTCGGCAGATAGCCAATAAAGCACATACACGTTAATTACAACCAGCATCCATTCTACATAGTTAAGCACATATCCCACAACCATACAGGCAACCCTTAAAGGCACAGTCTCGTTATATTGTCCAAGTGGCTATTTTTGCCACAATAACGTCCTCGTAACCGAAATAGCTGCCTGCCCAATTAGATAACATGCAAGTAACCGAAATAGCTGCCTGCCGAATTAGATAACATCCTAGTAACCAAAATAGCTGCCGGCCCAAGTAGATACCGTCTTAGTAACCGAAATAGCTGCCTGTCCAACTATACAATGACTTAGTAACCGAAATAGCTGCCTGCCCAACTAGATGACGTCCTAGTACCGAAATAGCTGCCTGACCAATTAAATAATGTCCTAGTAACCGAAATAGCTGCCTGCCCAAGTAGATAAGGACCTAGTAACCGAAATAGCTGCCTGCCCAATTAGATAACATCCTAGTGTAGCGGAGATACAATATTCCCCAGGCTATCTCCGTTTATAATCCAAGTGAGGCTCAGGAACAAGTAAATTGTAAATCCACAGGCAAGGTTTCCAGCAGGCAAAATAACACAGCAGTATCCCAACAGCAATCCCAATAACTGGACGACACACATTTTCAGGAGCAGAACTGACAACCTTTATTCCACAGTGCCTTAAATAGCATTCATTAATACAGTAGCCAATCCTGTCCCGGTAACCTCCCACACATCTCCTCCCCTCAGCCGGCATCATAATCCCCTTATCCAGTACAGCAATTCCCCCCGTTTATGGATGTACCCCTAAACCTAGGGGTACCCCTTTAAATTATACATCCCCTGGTAGCCCTGATCTGGGTGAACAACATATCCAAAAATCACCCAGATCGGACCAGGGGTTCGGGAATTTCCTGGAGGGAATAAAATGACCAACCGTGCTGGATGAACTAGCCGAATTGGGCTCCATGCGATGGGGCCCTGCGGTCGGTCCTGGAAAAGGCGAATGCAGTACCTGAAAGCCTCCAGCTATAGAGGCTTGGGAGGGTTTGCCTGAATCCCCTCGTTCGGTTGATTATGCCCACCAAACGAGGGGCCGTTCGGTAGTTTGGAACCGAACGGACCGGGCTGATGGAGGTCTCAGCGGTGTTCGCCTAATCGAGTGTCTGTTTTTAGTTCCAGACACTCGATGGCAAAACACCGCTGTTCGGGAGGTTAAGATGGCTGCCGCCACGTGTTCGTTTCTCGAATGGCGGCCACCCCTGGGAACAAAGGATTGCTACACAGCTTGTCAATTACCCGTTTGCAACAATGTTGCAACGGGTAATTGAAGGCACACTTCACACAGGGAGGTCTGACTGTTCGGTAGTTTCATTCGAACAAACTAAGGGAATGAAACTACCTTACATTCAGACGAATCCAATACATTTTACACATATAACTTAGCTATTTTACATGAATACATTCCCTTACTGCATAGACATTTAGCAAATAGACTAATACAGTTTAAACATAATGTAAGTCCCAGGGCAGCTCATGGCCATCCGCTACACCTAGTAAGCGAAATAGCTGCCTGCCCGAGTAGATAACGTCCTAGTAACCAAAATAGCTGCCTGTACAAGTAGATAATGACCTTGTAACCAAAATAGCTGCCTGCCCAAGTAGATACTGTCCTAGTAACTTAAATAGCTGCCTGTCCAAGTAGATAACGTCCTCGTAACCGAAATAGCTGCCTGCCCAAGTAGATAACGTCCTCGTAACCAAAATAGCTGCCTGTCCAAGTAGATACCATCCTAGTAACCGAAATAGCTGCCTGTCCAAGTAGATAACGTCCTCGTAACCGAAATAGCTGCCTGCCCAAGTAGATAACATCATAGTTACCTAAATAGCTGCCTGCCCAAGAAGATAACGTCCGAGTAACCAAAATAGCTGCCTGTCCAAGTAGATACCGCCCTAGTGTAAGAATATGAAGTAGTTAACTTTCCTTGTTCATTTGTATTTTATGCTTAGATAAGGTTTATAATCATTAGTGCTGACTGTAAGGATATGAAATAGT